GCGGGGCAGGGGTGGAGGGGGGCTACCCTCAGACACTGGGCAAGAACAGCCCCTAGAAAGAGGTGACCACAGAGCCAAGGTCTGCATGACAAGTGGATGCCAGCTCAGAAGGGAGGGGGTTCCATGCAAGGGATCCAGATGAGGGTCCCTGGCGCAGGGCGGGGGGGGCGCAGGGGGCGGCCAGGCATCTGCTGCAGGAACAAAGGCCTGGCTTGAAGAGGGAGGCCCGGCAAGACCCCCGGCAGCACCACTGCAGCATCCCAGCTTCTTCTATGACCCACAGGGGTTCTCTTCTTAAGGCAGAAGCATCAGCCGAGGGGGTCTAGGGTCCAGGGCAGCTGGCTAGGTCACGTCCAGCCTCTCCTGGCTAGGGGAGTGGACTGAGGCCTTGCCATGTGGCTCGGAGCCTGGCCGATGCTGTGCCCTAGTGCCCTTTGGTGCTATGTCTGGAACTGCCACCTCCTGTCACTCCCAGGCCCAATTCGCTGACGGGTAGGGAGATGCCTTAGTCCAACACAGGTTGGGAGGAGGGCCAGGCTGCGACCCTCCCAAACCTGGGCCCCTCGCCCTGAGGGACCATCAGGCATGCCCCAGCTCCAGGGAGAGGCAGCTTCCAGCAAACCCACAGGGTCCACTCGGACTTTCTGGAGGGCCCTCCCAGGTTTCCGCTGCAGGCCCTTCAGGTGCTCACAGTCTCATTTCATCCTCAGGCCTGCCTGGCGAGCTGCAGTTTCTTACTCCATTTTATGGATGAGGGAGCTGAGACTCAGAGAGCCTGAGCCCTGCCCAAGGCCTCTCAGCTGGTAAGAGCCCCTCAGGTCCTGACCTAGGTCAGTGGGGCTCTGTCCCCTGCCCTCTGCCCCAGGGTCCCCCACCATCCACAGTCATCCCAGCTGACCCCCAATTAGGAGAACATTCTGACCCCACCCAATCTTATGGTGGAGGATTTGCTGATTCCCTGAGCGTGTCCTTCCACTGGGAGAGGGTCCCTTTGGATATCTAGAAAACAACCCAAACCCAGCAACTTACACATTTTTATTAATTTTTTTAATTTTATTTATTTATTTTATTTTTCCCCCAAAGCCCCAGTAGATAGTTGTATGTCATAGTTGCACATCCTTCTAGTTGCTGTATGTGGGACGCGGCCTCAGCATGGCCGGAGAAGCGGTGCGTTGGTGTGCGCCTGGGATCTGAACCCCGGCTGCCAGCAGCGGAGCGCGCACACTTAACCGCTAAGCCACGGGGCCGGCCCCTACTTACACATTTTTAAAATTTAATTTTCTTTTTCATTTTTTAATGGATATTTATTGATTAAGGACGTTACACAATGTATGCAAAAGTGAAATAATAAGTAAAAAGTTTATTTACTTGAGATAGCGTTACTTGAAGAACGTTCTTTCTGTGAATGTCTGTCTTTGCTTTAAATACGCTTTTTTTTTTATTTGATGTTTTAATGGTTTTTAACATTGTGAAATTTTGGGTTGTGCATTTTTGTTTGTCCATCACCATATATATGACTCCCTTCACCCCTTGTGCCCACCCCCCACCCCCACTGCCCCTGGTAACCACAGTACAGTTTTCTCTGTCCATGTGTTGGTTTATAAAATTTAATTTTTAAAAAGCTAATGCATTCGCATGGTTCAAAAGTAAAATAAAAAAGACATCAAGTGAAAAGTCTCCCTCCCAACTGTCCGATGTCCACCAAGGTCCCCCGCCCCCAGGGAGCCCCTGTCCTTAGTTTCCTGGGTGTCCTTACAGAATTGCTTTATGCAAATAGAAGCTAAGCGCACAGACGTGCACACCTGTGGGTCTCACACACGTGCACGCCATCTGCTTCCCTTGCTCCTCACACAAAGGTCGCATCCTGGACACACTGCCCTTCCCCTAACCACACATCCTGGAGCTCGTCTGCGGTCTCAGGGACAGCTGCGCAGTGCTCCCCGCCCCACCACGGACTCAAGACTGAGCCAGGCAAAGGGGGCGGGCCCCCGGCTCCACAGACCCTCTGGGTGTGGGGGTGAAGGGCAGCTCTCTTCTGTGGCAGGGCAAGGATGGGGGGACCTCCCTGACCCGAGCCCTGACCCTGGAACGGCAGCGAGGGCACGCTGAGCACCTCTGGACGCACTGCAGGCCCTGAGCCATGGACTTCGGTGGGGCTGCCTCCCCTTCCACATCCGACCTGGGGCCCACGGGATGGCACCCCAACCCACAAACACACTTTCAGACTCTGCTGACCTCACACAGCCAGACAAATACATACACAAGACACACCTTTACCAGCACATGAGCGCACACGCATGCACACGTGTGTGCACATGCATAAACACGCACACTCACACACCCCCATACGCACACATACACACGACTGTGCGCATGTAGAAGCACGAAGACCCTCCAGCAAGCTGCTAGGGGCACCCCCACTGGCCTCAGGCCACTGGGCACAGGCTCGCATGGTGAGTGAGAGTTGGGCTGTGATGTGACTGCATCACCCCCTGCCCCATGCCCTGCACTCAACAACCAGGTTACAGGGAAGTCGGCCCCAGGCTCCCTTCACTGGGGACCAGGAACCCGGACGTCGGGGGAGAAACAGCTCAGGGTTAAGGCACAAGTTCTTTTCACTTAGATTTGCCACCCTTTATTGAAAACTGGGTGTGCTGACTCATTTTAGTTAAAATGAGTTAATGAAAGTTAAAAACAACAATGAACATTTCCAGAACCTACTGTAGGCCTGGCTCTGGGCTAGGCGCTTTCACATAAACCTCGGGGGGAAACCAAGGCTTGAAGTGAACAGTGACAATGAGGCCACGATGTGCTGAGTGCCCACTGTGTGCTGGGCACTGGACACGTGGCCTCCATGCTTCCAGACACCTGGGGCAGGGACTGTTACCACCCCGACCTCACAGAGGAGGGCGCTGGGCACCGAGAGTGGAAGCGGCTTGTCTCTAGTTACACGGCAAGTGGGGGCACCTAGGTGTCATCCTTGACTGCAGACCAGACTGGTAGGGGGGCGGGGGCCGGGGAGCACAGGAGGGAGAGGAAGGGGGCTGGGTCTGCACAGCGGACGGGGACCTGAGCCTGCAGTAGCAGGAGGCAGACCCCAGCCCTGTGTGGGGGACCCTCTCTTGAGGGCTGCAGAGGGACTGAAGCCTTAGCGGGGGCCTGGAGGCAGAGCTCTGTGGACCCCCAGCCCTTGGGTCCACGGGCTCTGGATGAACAGGGAGCCCTAACCCACCCACTCTGTTCATGAGAGGGAGGAGCTGGAGAGGAAAGCTCGGCCCGACGGCCACAGAGTGGGCACTTCTATTTCAGGGCGGCAAGACGCCTCACAGCGTGCTCTGTTCCCCATGTGCCTGCTCTCCATGTGGGACGTGGCGCACTCCCCCAGCAGATGGCCGCAGCCCTGGCAGAAGGCCTTGGGTGCCCTCAGACCACAGGGCAGGCTGGCAGCTGCAGCAGGGCGGGGAGAATCTGCCCTCGGCCAGTGGGGCAGGGCTGAGCCCTGGGGAGTAGGGCCAAGTGGGGGCGGGAGGGGCAGCGCCCTCACTGGGGCATGAGAGTGGGGGTGGGTCCCAGCCTCTGACCTCCCCACCCCAACCTATAGACACACTGAACGGAGTGCTCCCCAGCTCCTCCCGGGCTGTCCCACAGGAGCCTCTTGCAGCAGCAGCCAACATGCTGGGGCTCCACCTGGGCGGTGGCACTGCCACCCACCCGCATCCCCAGCCCAGACCCCTGGGCACCGTGGTCTGCCATGTTTTTGATGCCTCCCTCTCCCTCACTGCCCCCCAGCCTCAGGCTGGCCCTCAGTGGGCACCCCGGTCACTCTGCTTGGTCAGCTGCTGTGGCCTCCCTATCAGACCCCCTCTGGCTTTTCCCATCGTGCCCCAGCCCACCCAGCCCGGGCCTGGCATGCAGGCGCCTTCTGGACAGTACTTTTTAGATGAAAGAAAGAGAAAACTCCATGCTGAAGGAGACAATGTGGGACATCCTTCACTCACTCAACCAACACCAAAGGCTACTCCGCCAGGCTGGCCTCTCACTAAGGCCTGGCTCAGGGCCACCTCCTCTGTGTAGCACCCCAGGGGCTCTGGTCCCCCGGTCGGTACAGAGATGTCTGTGGAGCAGCTACTGACTCCAGGTGCTTCTCCAGGTCTGGGCACCCAGCGGTGGGCCAGGAGGACCCAGGCTGGTGACAGTCTGGTGGGAAAGTCTTATGGCAAAGGCCAGGAGGCGGGTGCGAGCTGGGCGCATCGGGGACAGAAAGGAGGGGGTATGGCTGGAGGGACGGAACAAGGGTGAGTGTGGGGAGGTTAGAGGGGACAGGGCACAGGCTCCAGAGGCCGTGGCCCGGAGACCATGCCATGTCAGCAAGACAGAAGTGGCCCAGGAGAGGAGCGAGTAGCCCTGTTGTCCCCCAACCCGACTCCAGGCCCTGGCTCTCCACTGATGGGCTGGGCGACCCTGGGAAGAGCCCCGCCCTCTCTGGGCTCCCGCCCCTGTCTGGGCCTGGGGCTCCCTGGCAGGAACACCTGTCTGAGGTCTTAGGACAGGCCATGGAGACGTCTAAGGAACAAGGACAAGACAGAGGCGGAGCACAAGCACAGCCTGACTCAAGAAGGCTGCTGGAAGGGAGGGTGCCCTGCGTGTCTGGCCAGAGCAGCATCACCCTGCCCAGGGGCCCGGGGTTGGGAGACTCCTCAGTCCTAGGCTCCAGGAGAAAGGGGCAGCCCTGAGAACAGGAGGGGGGTGCTCACAGAGCAAGACTTGGTCCAGGATGCAGAGCTGAGCCGAGGACCCAGAGCCAGACCCAGACCATCCAGGTCTGAACCCTACTTCAGCTCAGGGGGCCTTGAGATGAGCCATGTGCCTCTCGGACCCTCAGTCTCCTCTTCTACAGATGGGCCTCTGAGACCCGCTCTGCCTCCAGGGCGCTCTGTGAACTGGGACATCCAGGGGACAAGCGTGAGGGTGCTGTTCCTTCCAGCTGCAGAGCCCCAGGCCCTCGTCCTCGCTGAGAAATTGCTCTGGCCTGAGCACCCCTGTGTGCTGTCTTCAGTCTGTGCGTCCTCACCTGGCCTCAGGGGCCGGTAACGGCCCATTGCGCAGGTGGGGACATGGGGACATGCAGCCAGCAGCACGGGCGTGCCTGCCCCACAACCCTCACTCTGCCTCTGCCCACACTCCTCCTCCCCAGGGGGACTCAGCAGCCGGGAAGGGTTTCCCCTCCTTTCAGATGAGAGGTCTATCTGAAACAGATGATGCGTTTTCCTGGGTAACACACAATGCCTCAGGCAGCTTTTTAGTTTTCCTAATATACACCACTGGGAAAAGAGGAAAAATGAAATAGCAAGAAAAAGGGTTTTTGTTTCTAGGTCCCAGCTGGATAAGAAAGAGGGAAGTATAGAAGCCTGGGGGTCAGGGGCAGCTGGACCCCGAGCGTCAAGCGTCCTGGGGACTTACCCGGACACATCCGGCCGCAAACCCTCTCCTTCCACAGAGCCCCACGCACTCAGAGTCAAGGACTCCAGGCTCTGCGCTGGGGCTGGGGCCAGCTGCCCAGCAGAGGGCTTGCCCCTCTGGTGCCCAGCCATGGCTCCGGCAATGGTGGGCATCTGCCCACTACTGAGTGGAGGCCGCCAGCTCGGCCTGTGCTGCCCTCTAACTCCAAGCGTACCCAGTGACTGCCTCCAGCCTCAGTTTACTGCCCCTCCCCAACAAACACACACAGTTAACCCCCACCTCCACTCCCAGTGCGCTGTTCAGCTCAGCCATGCGCCCCGCTCCAGGAGTGGCCCAGTGACAGAGGCTGGCCAACGGGCACATAGCCTCCTCCAGGCCACGGAGATGGTTTCAGGAATGGCCGTGTGCCCCACAGCTGGCCAGCAGGATGTGAGGGTTTCTGAGGGAGCCCCCACATGGAACGCACCCCAGGGGGAAGGCAAGCAGGAGAGGGCGACAAGAGCCTTGGAGCCCCCAGATGCGGCCCCACTGAAGTCCGACCCCTGGGCTGGTCACTGACAGTAACCATTAAAATCCCTTCTTTTTTTTTTTTGGAGGAAGATTGGCCCTGCGCTAACATTTTTTTTTTTGCCAATTTTCCTCTTTTTTCTCCCCAAAGCCCCCCAATTGATAGCTGTGTATCATAGTTGTAGAACTGTAGCTCTTCTATATGGGACGCTGCCTCAGCATGGCTTGATGAGTGGTGCATAGGTCCGCGCCCAGGATCCCAACTGGTGAACCCTGGGCTGCCGAAGCGGAGCGCATGAACTTAACCATTATGCCACCAGGCTGGCCTCTAAAACCCCTTCTGACTTGAGTTTCTGTTCTTTGCAACCCAAAGACTCCTGATAAATACAGTCCCTCAGCCCCAGCCTGGCTTCCTGCCCCTCCCCAGATGTCCATTTTTCTTAAGTCCCAGAGTGTCCTGAAGCCCATCCCTGTGCAGTGAGAATCCAGGGGAGGAAGGGCATGGGAATAGCGTTTACAGGTTACAGATCCACCACGTGCTTTATTACCTCACTGAATGCTATGGCCACCCTGCAAATCTGGAATTGTTGATTCCATTTTACAGAAAAAGAATCTGAGGTTCAGAGAGGTTAACTCGTCTGCCCCAAGTCACACAGCCACTAGGCAGCAGATAAGGGGTTCCCTGAGAGCAACCTGGAGGGTGGCTGGGCCTTGCAGTGTGGGGGGGGGAGTGGAAAAGGCCCTGATTACCCCAATACCTTGGCCCCCACCTCTGCTGGGCCCACCCGGTGTGAGGAGCTCCTCCGGTCACTCAGCAGCCCTGGAGAGATGGTCAGGGACTGAAGCCGGACCAAGGAGGGGGGATCTGAGGGACTCAGGAGGTGCCTGCAGCCATCCCTGCTGGACTAGGTGAAGCCAGCGCTTCTCTCCTGTTTGATAACAGAGAGCAAATACGAGGAAGACACCCAGTGTTATCTCGGGCGGCGAGCACTGCAAGGGACGGGCTGCAAATTTCAGCGAGGGCCGTGGGGATTAAAAATGCATCACTTCCCTTACCAACCATTCCAAACAGATACCAGGGACCGTCTTGACGAGGAACAAAATCGCTGAAGCCAATAAAACGTCTTGCAATTGGCCACGCTCCGACTGGCCACCCACTGAGCTTTGGGGCTGCTCTGCGGCCTGGAACCTTTCACTGTTGGGTGTTTCGTCCCTCTGAGGTTGGGCCAGTGCACCAGGGTCAGGTGTGACAGGAGATGGGGAGACACAGGGCATCTCTGGGCCAGGCCCTAGGTCCTTGGAGTCCCCATGTCCCCAGCTTATTCCCAGGAAATTGGAAACAGAGGAGGGAAGGCCAGAACCCTTTGGAAGGGGTCAGTCCAGTGAGCCTGGCCCTCAAGATCCCAGGTGGGCCGGGCCCTGAGCCAACACCACACCCACTGGCTTTGACCCCAGTGCCCAGCCTCGCCAGGCTTGTCCAGGCTCTCCTGAAATCTGTGATGAGTCAATCTGCCAAGAACGAATTCACTGAGTAGTCAATCTGCAGACAAGCCCATCAGAGGCACTCATCCCCTTAACCTTTCCCGTTTAGTTGGCTGCGTTTCATTTTCGTCTTCAAAATGGCATTTGAATGAATGTCCAGTTTGTGTCTGCCCCAGCTCCTGCTGCTGGGTAGCAGCCCAAGCAGGCGGGACGGAGGGGCCAGGAAGAATGAGGTGACCATATCATCACTCATGTAGGTGGCACTGGGCAGAGGCAGGGCAGGAGGGAGTGGATGGTCAGCAGGGCAGTCACGCAGGCCCACCTGAGGGGCCCTGGGTGGGGCTGGGCCCTGGCTCCGGGAGGGGCTCTGGGGACAGAGGACGAGACCTGATCCTGGGTCTCAAAGTTGCTGGAGGCCAGCGAGGCCCTACCTGGCCACAAAAGGGGCTTGTGCTGCCTTTCTCGAGGAAGGAGGCTGGTCCCAAAGCCCCTGCTGGGGTTCAGCCTTGGGGAGAAGGGGTCAAGGGGTCTCAGCCGCCAGGGAGGGGAGGGCAGCAGAGGTTGGTGACCACACAGGCCCCCCAGGGAGGGACTGAGATGGGGGGTCGCTGGCCTTTCTGTCCCTCAGTCACCAAGAGTCTGGCCCATCAGACCCACCGGCCCCCCACATTTTTTTCTAATTAAAATTTTTATTTTGAGATAATTGTAAATTCACCTGTAGTTAAAAATAATACAGAGAGCTCCTGTCTACACTTGCCCCATTTTCCCCAATGGCGACATCTTGTAAACTGTAGGACAACATCACCACCACAGTGCTGACACTGGGCGTCCCAACCCTAGACAGAGCTCCTGCTCACTCCTCCTCGTGTGTGTGTGCACACACATGTGTGTGTGTTTAGTGCCATGAGGTTTTATCACACGTGCAGGGTCATGTCAGGACGCACCAGAGGTCCCTCACCACAAGCATCCCTCACGCGTCGCCCCCATTTATGACCCACACCTTGCGCTGCCCCCTTCTCTGCTCTGAAATGAAGTTCACCAATAATGGCATCTGTCTACACACAGAATTGACAACAAAGATCCACAGTGTCCTAATGGTCGCAGCACAGAGAGAAGAAGAGGAGAGCAGCAGGTAGCGACGCGAGCAAGAGCCAGCACGCTGGTGGCGGGCACGCCGCCCCTCAGCGCACAGCGAGGCAGTCAGCCCCTGCCTCTCTACGTGATAGCAGCTACAGCCCGGGCGGACACAGAGGGTGCCACGAGGGACGCTGCCCTTGGTGACACGATCTGAATGGTGACTGCTCTCGGCAGAGGTCCAAACATATAGAGGTCTGATCCTCCCTTGACTACGAGAACAGCAGTTGATTCCTGGAAAACTCAGTGTATTAAAATCACAGGGAGCGCACTCTGTGGTTTAGATGTCACACAGGGTGAGGCCCCAGGCTCAGACAACTCCACATAGATGCTCACCTCCATGAATATCTGGTGAGCATTCGCAAGGTCTGGGCTGTGCAGTCCTGCTCCCTACACCACAGGGTGTTAGCTTACCTGGTCAACCAGACACCCTCCATGGCTCCCCTCAAATACCCGCCCACCTCCCCAAGCCCCCTCAGGGGGCAGTGTGGCCCCGCTGAAAGCCTCTAGCACACACCCCCTGCTCCCCACACCGGCAGCTCCACCTGTGTCTGTCTCCCCACGGCAGGGGCCGCTGTTCCCCAGGGTCCACCCCAGGCCCAGTGTTGAACAGGTGCTAATAAACGTGCCCAACAGAAGTGATCTGGGTGGAGAGTCAGCCACGGCGACAATGGCAAAGCCTCGACGAGCCTCCTGGGAGGCCTGGTGGACCTTAACCTCAGGATGCCCCAGGACCAGTCCTGCCAATCTCCTCTCTCCTGCCACAGCTTTGCTTCCTTCATGGGGACCCCACTGCGAGCAACAAGTCAGGACTTCCCACCTGACGGAGACTGTCGCCTCTTTCAAGGGCTAGCTAGTCACCATGTCCCCGACCTGAGCCTTTAATTGGCTCAAATCCAGAAATGCAAAGCAGTGACTGGAAACTAAACTGCTCTGTGTAACTGGCTGGGTGCTTCAATAACAAAGCGCACACGTAAATGCACAGAACTGCTCTGGAAGGACCCAACAAACTGGACACAGTGGTGGCCCCTGGGCAGAGGGACAGGAAGGGAGGCAGGGAGGCAACTTTGCATTGTGTACGGACATGTGGATGAACTCTCTCGCAATTATATGAATAAATAAAGAACAACAAAAAAAGATGGAAGCAGGCATTCCTCATGCAAAAATTTCTGAGCATCTACTGTGTGCCAGGCACCCCAAAGGACCCAGCTCCCTGGGATACTTATACCCTGGAGGACTGGGTTCTGGGTGGGGCACCCAGAGCTCCCTGTCCCCCCCGACCCTTGCCCTGGGACAGAAACTCTGACAAAGTCAGTGGAGGCATCAGTGGGTGCCCAGCCAGACCCAGCCCTCCCGAGTCGATGCCAGGGGTCCTCGGGGCTGAGTGGTCCATCAGGAGGGAGGAGGCTGAGCCTCATCACTCATGCC